CCTCCTACCAACTCATCCATCCATTCATGGGTAAAATTCAATAACATATTTGCTTGGGTATGATATTTCTAATATAAAATATTACTCCTATAACAAAAGGATGGCATCTACATTCTCTAGAATCACTTTTTTTCATTTTATAGTGGAAATATTAAGCCAAACATGTTGGATTCTAGTGAATGCAGATGCCATCCTTTTGTTAGAGGAGCAATTTTTTTTTTTTATCTGCCAAGTGCTAATAATTCTTGTAATTGCAATGAAATGTTGACTCAGTGCTTAATATTAATAACATATCACAAAAGATATTCCTAAACTTTTCTAAAGCACATGATTAAGTGATATTTGATTCTATATATTTAGTTTGGTTGTTATTTAAAATCAACTTACAAAAATCTTTCTAAATATTCTAATTAACTAGTTGTTTAGTAAAAAAATATCTTTATACAAAAATTAACCAAATACAATTCAGGTAATTCAATTTTTTTTAATATTGATTCCAATATTTAAACTATAAACTTAAATTATATATCAATACTCATTTACTAACATATTCAACTTTTGAGATTTCTTTTTTGATTACTTAATTTTAGTAAGAATAATTATTAATATAAGGGTTGGCCAATTCTAATTTCTTTTCATTCCCAGTACCATGATACAAGTGCAAAGTGTACTAAAATAACCAATTATCCAAATTATAGTACCAAAATTCTCAACTAAAGTATATTGGACCGACCATTAAAAAAAAACAAAAAAACAAAAGAATATTGGACCACTTATTTGTGGTTCTATATGATGGACTTTGCATTGTGGTCGGAGTGGATTTCACTTTTTTGGATTAAGAATGGCATTGACATATTCTACTAAAAACTTTACAAAAGAATAATTTCCTTTTAGTTTAGGTCAAACGTTAGGTGATTTGGTCATGTAAGGGCACGTATGGGGCTTGGTATAGGATGCGATTGGATAGGATTTTTAAAAAGATAAATGTGATTGGATTGGATGGGATGGGATAACATAAATTGAAATCCAATGGCAATTGTGTCATGTTTGGTTGAATA